ATGAACCATACTCGGTGAGATTTTGATCCAATAACTTGAACATAGTTCGATGTGGTTGTCGTCTTTCAGGATACAAGTTAAAATACATTTCCGATGTCCTAACAGTGTTTCTATCCTTATTGTAATAAATTTGTATCGTATCTCTGTTTTCGTCATTCGCGAAAGCCATTTTCCGCCAAAAATTCAATGACTTCAACAATAACAAAATGTCATTGAGTGTAACAAATTGAAAGTCAAATTTATACACATCAAAGTCAAACCTTATGATGAGAATTAATTTTTTTTCAATATCTCCAATTTTTCGAAAAAGAATGATAACTTATTATACATCATTGGAAACGTAAAATCTGGTTCTATTCAAAACAGAAAAATCCTATGTAGAACCCATTAGAAAAAATAAATGTGATGATGGAAGCGGAAAGACGAAACGTTGGATATCAATTGTGAAATTACCATTATGAAGCTGGAAAAAAGTGGCAATGTGACTATTCATTTTCGAATCTTTCAAAAAATAAAGCCACAAAAAATTTAAACCACTTTTCGAAATTTCTGTTTTTTCCGGATATCTCCGGATATACTCTGAATATCAGATCTCTGTCAACGGCATATTGTTAGTCAGGTAAATTCGCAACTTTTCTCCAATTTGACCATCTTCGTATCTCTTATAGTTTCCGAGATCCCAATGGTGAGGATCGAATTTGAAACAACCTGTATAGGGGGCCACAGTGTCATTTATCTAAGTTATCTGCTTCGGATAGTTAAAACTAAAAAACAGTTTGAAAAAAACATCTTTTTTTCATCTAATTTGAGAACTGTTTTCAAATCTTGAGGAAATTTTTCTGAAATAAATAAAAGTTCTCGTGGGGTGAATTCAAAAACGTCTATGAAACTATTGACTGGATCTTCAATATCGGCCCAGTGAGTATTGGCCCATAGAAAACTGACGCACAGAAAACTGACGCACAGAAAACTGCTCCACTTCTCATTCCATCTCAGGGTTCAAATAGAACCTTGTGAAGTTATATTTCTAACAATTCAACTCTATGAATAAATCATTTTCAGTTTCACGTTGGAACTCCAGAAATCATATGTGATGTAAACGGCCGATACTAGAAATCCATAACGTATTGAAAAAATACTCCACTGTGAGATTTTCACAATGAAGTGTTTCTTGAATCAAGGAATCATTTATATTTCAACAATATATCCGTAAAGGCGGTTCTGTACCAAACGTGGACTGACATGCATTTCAATTCTTTGTCACAGCGTTCGTTCCCGAAGGCAAAATAAATCTGATGAAGAAACTAAATCACCCCCCAGCAAAACAGCCGCCGGGATCGATAGCCGTCCCTTGTTTTGGAACGTGTTTATTTGGGAAATAGTGGAATTAGTCAGTGTCATGCTTGATACAAACAAACCATATACACAGAGGTATATCGGGAGGTTAGGAATGTCGGATGATTCTTTGATTTGATTTTTTTTATCTCGAACCTTATCATCAGACAATCAATATGACTTTTCCATGACGAGAGATCGAAAGTAGCTTTCAGCGTTGCTCAGAATATACAGTGTGCGGCAACGAAACATGATTCGTTTATTGTAAGAAATAAAAATTAATCAACTGTCAAACCTCTCCCACGCTTTTTGACTTGTCTAAGTGTGATAGCCACCAAGGGTTGAAGATATGATAGTTATGATTGTTATAGAAACATGATAGACAAATGTATTTTGAAAATATTCGATCTATTTCGTTTTTGGTGCGCCCATTTAGTTACTCCTTCGTTTCAAAAGGTTCTGTTTCGATAGATTTGATGAAGTTTTGCATTACCATTATCAATATGAAAGACAATATCAACAAGGCGTCTGGTACTGATGAAGTGCCCGTCATCGAACTTAAAAAGTACGCAAATTAACTCGCACCAGTATTTTATAGACTTTTCAACCTGTTTTACAAGAAAGGGTTTTGTTCTTCTTGTTGGAAGATTGCTCGCGTTCAGCCTATTTCCAAAAAAAAGCAAGAAAAATCTTACAAATAACTTTAGACCAGTCGCTTTGCTATGAGTTATATCAAAAATCATGGAAAAAGCTATCATATCCTCAAATATTTGACAGGCATCAATATCTTGACCAATCATCAATATGGCTTTCGGAAACAAAGATCAACAGGCGAACTTCTATCGTATGTCACCCATATTTGGAATAACGCAATCGAGAAACGTGGAGAGTCAACAGCTGTTGCGCTCGATATTTCTGAAGCCTTTGTCCGTGTGTGGCATGAGTTTGCTGGTCAAACTTCGATGCTGTGGTTTGTCGAATCTTTTTTGTTATGGCTCCCAGCTTTCTCAAAAAACGTTCCCTGCAAGTGGCCGGCGATGAATATGTCTTGAGTACTTTTACCATCAACGCTGGTGTTCCCTAGGTATCTATATTGTCTCCAGCCCTCTTTTTATTATATATCAACGACTTATTTGAAAAACTCAAGTATCCAATATATTGCTTTGATGATGACAGCACACTTGTCTCGTCATTACATTTGGATGCGGATGCACATCTTTGCTGGCAGCAGGAGATTGAATATCTTAATGAGGATCTAGAAGTAATTTCGAATTGGGGTGAAAGTACCAGGTTCAATTCAATGCCACAAAAACGCAGGCATCGGTTCTCTCCAAAAAGATAAATATTTTCGAACCGGATATAATAATGTCAGGTCAGAAAATTCCGCTTTCTGCTTCGTTAAGTTTGTTGGGGGTCAAAAATTGTCTTGGCAGAATCATGTCGCTGGAATTACAAATGCTGCTTCTTAAAAGCTTGAAACTCTGTTCCGAATCAGAAAACTGAACACACCTCAGAAACTTTTGATGCTTCATGAAGCTCAGATCAGACCTTCGTTGGAGTATTGTTCTCATGTATAGAGCTTTTCCCCCAAACACACCCTGAAGCTGCTGTATTCCTTCCAGAAAAGAGCCATCCGCCTGATTGGAGACGCGAACATCACTTGCAACCTTGATAGACTGGAATATCGAAGATAGGTTGGAGATTTGTTTCTCTTCTATAGATACTTTCACGTGAAGTGTTCAAGTGACTTGGCATATTTGATTCCACCTAGAGCGGAACATATCAGAAATACGCGACGGACTGTGACTGCTCATCGTTTCGACGTTCAACTCAGTACACATCGAACTTCACTGATTGAGAACTCTTTCATTTGGAGAACGGCATTTATATGGAATGAACTTCCTGAAAACGTTTTTCCAAATGGACTTGATCTCTAGCGATTCAAATCCAATGTGAATCACCATTTTTGCACAGACACCGCTCTAAGAGCCCCTTGGGGATTTTTCTGTAGTGCTTGTGTTTCGTCTTCAAAAAATTAAAAATGATTACAAAAATCATCCGGATCATTGTTTCTCAATTGTCTATTGATAAAAAGACTATGCAACACATTTAGAATATCTTTGATGCAGGAATTCAACTCTGTATAGGAGCTTCAAAGGACAATGACGTTTAATGAAGTGCATGTTTTTTTTTATTTTCGAACACTGTTTTACCTATATGAATAATAACGATAACAAGAAGAACATGAAAATTAAACTGATGACTATTTGGAAAATCAACAGTCCACATATTCAAATCACTAACTTTATTGCATATAACAGAAAAAATGTACTATGAGTCCATCAGATTTTTTAAACTATGCATCAGATCTCATCTTTGTAGTACAGCGTTTATCCCTAAGAGCGTTTCAAATAGAAAGAATAAACCCTCCAGGAAAAAGTGCCAAGATGAAACCCATTTTAATCGCTGCACTGACGTGTATCACCAACAAAAAATAAAATGACATTTTTTCGTAGGTATTTTTGACAATTTGTTAGAAAGCAAATACTTACCTCTCAAAAATAAACAGTTTTTTACTTTTATACTTGTTTTTAACAACGTTTCGTTTTCGGTTTAAGAGCGATTTTAGACAAAAAAAATTCCACCATTTCATGAATTTTTTTCTTGGTTTTACTGTAGGTTTCTGAATATTTCAGAATCCAAATCATCTATTGAGAGTAATATTTTCAACTTATATTTTCTGTTTCAAGTTTCAACTCATTTTTTTCTTCGAAGTGGGATCCGAACATAATTCTGATTCTAATTGAATGGGTTGTTGCCGATAAAATGTCTTCCTACATTTTCGTATCACGAACAAAAAATAAAATTACATTTTTTCGTAGGTATTTTTTGACGGTTTGTTAGAAACCAAATACCTCTAAAAAATAAACCGTTTCATACTTGTTTTTAAAAACGTTTCGTTTTCGGTTTACGAGCGATTTTTGGCAAAAAAAATTCCGAAAACAATCATTTCGCAAAATTTTTTTCTTGGTTTTACCGAATGTTTCTGAATATTTCAGAATCCAAATCATCCATTGAAAGTAATATTTTCAACTTATATTTTCTATCTCAACTCATTTTTTCTTCGGAGTGGAATTTGAGCATAATTCTGATTCTAATTGAATGGGTGGTTGGCGATAAAATGTCCTCCTACATTTTCTACTGATGATATAGAGTAAGTAGCGTTAGGCATCTACTGGAAAATGTGTCTAAGGATGTGAAGTGTTCTATCTAACATTTCCTCAGGAAATGTATGTAGTTGATACATTATTGAAATTTATGAAAAAATATTTTTTTTGTGAACTTTAATGGCGTAACGCCTGAAGATGCTATCGTTTATGGAAACACGTGTCGCGGATTTATAAACTTTCGAGTAGATATCTCATATTGAACTGTGTTTTTGAAATACGTTTTCATTGTTATTTGACTTGTTGTTTGTTTTCAACATGCAAATTTTCTGTTCTTCAAATAACTGCTTACTATACCTTGTGAATTCCATACTTTATTCTATCGATTGGATTAGGTTTCAGCCTGGCATCCCCCCCCCCTCCGTGAACAGTTAGCTCGTTTGATTCGAAGGGTTCACAGCTGTACTGAAGAAACTATTCCTACGTATATGCACTTACCCTAGCGAGTGGCTTTCCCGAACTAGCGACGCATGTGAGTGTCAGGCTCGCCCCCTCGGCGTACGACGTCGTTATGCCATTTCTCACCGGGCCCCAGTCATCGCTCACTTGGACGTTTGACGGAGGAACTGAAAATTAAAAAGAAAGAACAATGAGATTTTAATAGCTCCATTCGGTGTAGCGTTATATCGATGGTGTATTTGGAGAGGCTTTCACCTTGTTCATTTCGTTTGAAGTATCGGAAACTTACCAAGAGAAGTGAAGAGGAATCGTGTGTACTTTGTTTTCATGAAAGTTCATAAAAAGGTAAATAACTAGCAATTCGTTTCAACTCCGCAAGAGTGCGATTAAGAGTTGTTATTTCATTGTACAATACTAATATCTGCAGATTACATATTTTGGTATATTTACAGGTTTATGTACGTTTGTAATGGCCTAACAAATTGATACGAGCTACAGATGTAGTGTCAAAGACAAGACTTCTCGAAACCTTGGTCAAATTCTAGTCCATGTGAAAAAAAAATGACCAGAATGAAACTAGTCCTATGAAACGAATTTTCTAATAGAGAAAACATTGTTGAAGTTGATGGGGAATTTTCAAGTACAGACATAGTGAACCTATGAATTCCACCGGGGTGAGTCCGGGGTCAACTACTTTTCCTCCTGTACATAATTCATTTAACCAACTTCATCACTACTAGAAACACTACTGAAGAGGTATCAAAAAGGGATTAAATATCACACAATAATGTGTACATTGAAATGTAAACATTTCTTTGTCTGCTTGTAATGATGATAATTTCTCAGGAAGAACTATTCGTGATTGATTAACATGGTCTGCAGATAAACAGTGTGTTCTAATGCCTCAACAAGTCTCTGAATGGGGTAAAGTATTTATTGGTCAAAGAAGATTGATACGCCTACTTTTTTATTTAGAATATACTGAATCGTGCAGAAGTATATGGAGAAAATAAGATCCCTACTGTTTTTACAATCTATATCTGAAAGTTTCCGACTTACATATATAACAGCATCAAAACCGTCATACGACTGGCATTAATAACAAAATAAAATTCAGAAACGTCAATCAGTACATAGGATGTTAACTGCATCAATCAATAACAAAACATGTCAACAAAATATCGTATATGGAATTCAATAAACAAATAACATATCTAACTGCTAATCCTATATATTTGTCTATCTATCAAATTTAGATCACCAGGCCAACTGATACGATTGGGGAAAACGATGTGATAAGGGAAAAACGAGTGTGCTTCAGTATAAGAAACAAGATAAATTTCACTAGTTCGGACTTCCATTGTCTACTATATGAAATGATTTGAAATCCCTGAAACAACTAAAAAAGAAGAATTGAAAATGAATTGCTGAAAACAACAATTATATTAACCAAAATGAACCTGAAATGAAATAATAGTGAAATAAAATACGAGTAAAAATAGAACAATTGAATGAATACAAATAAAGAAATCAAAAAAGAAAATAAAAATAAAAAGTGGAGAGATTCCAAGTCACGTTAGTTCACGACGTTTCGATTGTTAGTATCTACAATCGTCTTCGGGTGATGACTGGACTGAATCCTCCGAGAGATGACTATTTATTGGTCGTTCGAGTACTTTCACTTATACCCGCTTTCCATTTTCCCCTTCACTGGTTCCGTGGGAGATGACCGTTTTGGCGGGAGTTGGCCATTTTTCGCTTGATGAAGGGTTTCCATATGTTGCGTATTTCTACACTGGCTTGGCTGAATACGTTGTTGGACAACATGTATGCGGTTTTCTTCAATTTTCTCCTAAACCAATGTTCCTCTCTGTGCAAGATCTCAGCTTGGGGCCACTCGATGTTGTGTTGATGGGTCCAAACATGGTCTGCTAATCCTGATTTGCTGGTTGTACTACCTTCCTTCGTATTACAGAGCTCAAAAGCACGGTCTAATAGAGTCTTGATGATTTCTCTTTTAGTCGATTGATGGTGGTTGGATTCGTGGTTCAGATTCTGTCCCGTATGAGTGGGTTTTCGGTATACATATGTTTCCCACTTAGTGTCGGTTATCTTCACCAAAACGTCTAAGAATGACAATTCGTTGTGGATTTCCTTTTCCATTGTGAAATTGATGGGGGGTCTCACGCTGTTGATGTGTTTCAGAAAGGCGTCTAGTTCAGTATTCCCATGGTTCCATATTATGAAGGTGTCGTCGACATATCTCAACCAGACTCGAGGTTTCTTGTGGGCTTCTTCAATGGCCAAAATTTCAAACCACTCCATATATGTGTTGGCTATGACTGGTGAAAGTAGCGATCCCATTGGCAGTCCCTCATCTTGTGTAAATAATTCGTCCTTCAGTTGGAAATAACAGTTTCGTACACAGCATCCTAGTGATTCCATGATTACTTCTATAGGTAGATTCGTTCTCTCTTTCAGGTTCCCGTCTTCGGACAACTTTCTCTGTATGATTTGGAGTGCTTCTTCGACCGGAACGTTGGTGTAAAGGCTTTCCACGTCGAAACTAATTAGTTGATCTACCTGTGTGACCTCAATTGACCCTAGTAGTTCGACAAAATGCCTTAAATTTTTCACGAAAGACGATTTTTTTCCTTGTCATGGTTGTATTGAGGGAAGTAAAAATCTAGACAAGTTTTGAGTAGCCGAATCTCTGGAGCTGATGATCGGAAGTCGACAACGTATTCAGCCAAGCCAGTGTAGAAATACGCAACATATGGAAACCCATCATCAAGCAAAAAATGGCCAACTCCCACCAGAACGGTCATCTCTCACGGAACCAGTGAAGCGGAAAATGGAAAGCGGGTATAAGTGAAAGTACTCGAACGACCTATAAATAGTCATCTCTCGGAGGAATCAGTCCAGTCATCACCCGAAGAAGATTGTAGATACTAACAATCAAAACTTCTTGAACTAACGTGACTTGGAATCTCTCCATTTTTTATTTTTATTTTATTTATCTTTTTTGATTTCTTAATTTTTTTGTATTCAATTGTTCTATTTTTACTTGTATTTTATTTCACTATTATTTCATTTCAGGTTTATTTTGGTTAATATAATTGTTATTTTCAGCAATTCATTTTCAATTCTTCTTTTTTAGTTGTTTCAGGGATTTCAAATCATTTTATATAGTAGACAATGGAAGTCTGAACTAGTGAAATTCATCATGAAACATTATCAATCACCTTTAAACAAAGAAACAAGATATTTCCGAATGAAAATCTTTTAGATGATGAACTCATTTCGGTTATTATTCATTTGTAGTTCTAATTTATCTTGTAGAAAGTTTACCAAGAGTTGCTCATCTTCAGATGCAAAGTTAACATTGGAATCTCCTGTTGAAATTGATAGCGACGTATGATAGTTTTCTCCTAATTCTTCAGAGCCCACTCGACCGCAAACGTGTGCGTGGGGTCCTCTCTCTCTTGCCCCCCACAGTATTATACGAAACGTAACTCTCTCTTTCTATCTTCACTAACTTATACCTCTCAGCTTTCGTTCGCCTCGCCTGATCACATTTTTCGTAACGCTCTCGTCACGTATTTTCCAGTTTATTCCTCAAGTCGAACGCGCGTAAATAATTTTTTCTAAATATATAATAATTTAATAAACTGAATCAGCTCCAAAAAGAAATCATCCCAAATGATATTCTCATATATGCACAGTCAATTGACCAACATATCGGAATCAAAAGAAGGTTGATGGTAATTATGGACTACATATCTGAAGTTAAGTAGCTGATGTGTTTTTAAATAACATGGTTCTCAGAATAATTCTACGATCAGAAAAATTTAGAGTCGAAACTGTGAAAAGTATTCACCTATCGGTAGTTATGAAAAATGACAGATAGGTATAACAAAATGATTGGTTATTTAGGAGTGGAAACGATGAGTGGAATCCATGAAAGTGAATTGGCGTGAAGTTATCCACAGATTTCTGGCCACACATACTGACGTAGAGGAAAATAAAAATCTGTGGTTGGGATACGAAATTATTAGCACCCGTACTAATATCTGTGGCTGGAAATAACTATTCACTATAGGTTGAACGTGAAATTATTAGGACTATTTGGTGTGAAACTTTTTTATAGAATCTTGAGTAGATTGACGTGTTGATAATTGTTTTCTCATCAACAATACAAATTTAGGGAGAAATAAAATTGGAAATATTAGACTTACTTTCCAATACTCCATATAAAAATGATATCCGATGATGTGCGTCCATCAAAATCACATAAATTCCATAGTTTCTTGAGTAGATTAACTTGGTGATGACAGTTTTCTTGTCATCTAAACAGATTTCAAAAAAAAAATTGTTGAAACAATCAGAATAATTTTTTGAGATCCCTTGAATTAATGAAAATCACACAACTCCTATAGAATCTTGGGTATATCAATATAGTGAAAACCATTTTCTTGTCATCCATACAGATTTCGAGAGAAAAATCAGACTCACTTTTCAAAACACCTTGTAGAATTGTAACCAGAAGATGTGCGTTCATGAAAATTACATTTTGGGTAGATTGATATAGTGAAAACCGTTTTCTTGTCACCCATACAGATTTCGAGAGAAAAATCAGACTCACTTTTCAAAACACCTTGTAGAATTGTAACCAGAAGATGTGCGTTCATGAAAATTACCCAACTGTTATAGAATCTTGGTTAGGTCAATATAGTGAAAACCGTTTTCTTGTCACCCATACAGATTTCGAGAGAAAAATTGTTGCAACAATCAGACTCACTTTTTAAAACACCTTGTAGAATTGTAACCAGAAGATGTGCGTTCATGAAAATTACACAACTGTTATAGAATCTTCGGTAGATTGAAATAGTGAAAACAGTTTTCTTGTCACCCGTACAGATTTCGAGAGAAAAATTGTTGCAAAAAATCAGACTCACTTTTTAAAACACCTTGTAGAATTGGAACCATATGTTATGTGTTCATGAAAATCACACAGCTCTTATAGAATCTTGGGTAGATCGATATAGTGAAAACCGTTTTCTTGTCACCCATGCAGATTTACAGACTCAAAATATGAGTCTGAAGCAACAATTTTTTTATCGAAATCTGTATGGGTGACAAGAAAACAGTTTTCACTCTATCAATC